GTGGAATGAAGAGTAATATTAAACTAGAAGACAAAGATACAAAATAAACTAGTCTCTGGGATACATGGATCCCAACATATCAGCATAGAGATACATAAAAAGGGTTGAGGGGCAACCCTCTAAAATGACAAAATCTTCCTGCTGGGAATGAGCCATAGCAGCAAGACGATCAGCACACATATTGCCCTCTCTGTAAACATGCTGCAAGTGGACGTGCAGAAGATCCACCACAAGGGCCCTACAATCAGAAATGAGAGAACATAGAGGGTGATGGTGGTCAGTCCCAATGGAGAGTAACTGAAAGGCAATAAAGGAATCCACTTCAACAATTAAGGATTGAATATCAAGTTGTTTAGCCAAAAGAAGACCATCCCGAATTCCCCAGATTTCAGCAGCAAGGCTTGAAGCAATACCAATCTTCCTAGAGAAGCCTCTAATCCAACGTCCTCTATGGTCACGAATAAGGCCTCCAGAGGTGGCTGGACCTGGATTATTGATGACTGAGCCATCAGTGTTAAGTTTAAAGGAGCCTGCCGGTGGTTTGTCCCATTTAACAAGTTTTTGTGTTGAAGAATGACTGCCAAATTTGGGACTAGGGAGAACAGATAGGAATTCAAAGATCCTTTCTCTAATAAACCGAAAAATAACGTGGGGATCAAAATCTTGATCACAATAAACTTTTTTGTTCCTGTGAATCCAGATTGTCCAGAGAACAAAGCAAAAAAGAGAACCCCACGGAGCAGGAATAGTAGGGGAGTAGCTCTTTTTTGTACAGTTCCTCTGAATCCAGTCAAAGAAAGAAGTATCATTCTGGGGAAGTTGAAAATCATCTTTGAAGAAATAATTCCAAATCGGGAGGACTTGCGGACAGGAACTCATGAGGTGAGAACAAGACTCATAAGTATTAGAGCATAATGGACATAATGAGTTATCAAGGATGCCAATACAATGTAAATATTCAAAAGTCTTCAAGCGTTGGTGACAAAGAAGCCAAATGAAGTTCTGAATTTTTGGAAGAGCATGTAACTTCCAAATCCACTGCCAATTTCCCTTACAGGATAGGGAAATATTCTTAGCAATTTTATATGCTACCGTAGAAGAGAACTGACCATTAGATGAACCCTTCCAAGCAAAAGAGTCCCCTCCATGACGAGAGAAAGAAAATGGGGTAGCCTTGATGGTTTCTAACGTGTCTTTGTCCAAGGGCTGAGATATAATATCAAGATTAAGCTTGCCTTGTGGGAAGACATCTGCAAGTGTGAGATTCACGTCATTCGAGAGGAGGGGTCCATAGAACTTGGAGACGAGAGGATAGTCAAAAGCCCAACAGTCAAACCAGAACAGGATGTCACTACCATCAGCTGGGATCCATTTAATGCCTTGTAAAAAAAGAGGATTCCCTTTCCGAATATATCTTAGAATAGGCGAGCCATGTGCAGGAAGTGTCCCTGGTCTACTACCAATGTTATATTTGGAAACAATCACCTTGCACCACAATTTCTCTTTATCT